CAGGGCAGCGAGGGCGCCCCCCGCGCTCTCGGGCGAGCAGCGCCGCCTGGCGGCGCAGGGCGGGAGGCGCAGAGGAGCGCACCGAGGAGCTGCGGGTCTTGTAACGACGCTCGAGTGCAGGGGGGACGGGGTGTGGACTCTTCGCCCCTTCTGCCCGCAACTCCTTTTCTCGCAGTGATGGCTTTACTCAAACCTTGCTTCTCCATATCTGCTCTTTCTTCTTGATTGTCCCCATCTCCAGGCAGTTGCCTGAAGAACAGCATACTCAGGGAAAAGCACACGCAAGCCTTGACGTGCCTCTTCTCATGCATACATGGACCAAAACAGGCCATTTGTTTCACTGTCAGCTTTTGCTGCAACAAAAGCTTAACCTATCACCCTACTGTGTTACACAGTTCCTATCTCTTCCCAATAATCCTGTCTCACATGAACTCCTACCAGGGGCAGGCTGGAGGCACGTGGTGCCAGAGCAGCCCTGTAAACCTTTCTCCCTTTCTCTCTTGGTCCCTGGAAAGCCCATTGTCAGAGGAAGGAGAGGTTGCCTTTGCTGCATGCTCTGCTAGCTGCCTGTAGCAAAGCAGGGATACCCCAGGGCACAGTTAGCTCTGTTGGCCCTTCTAGGAAGTGAGTACAGAAGCAGCAACATATTCAAAATGAAGGAGCTGAGAGCATTTTGCTATAGTAAAAACTCTCAGGTCTGGCAATTCTAAATCAACACTCACACACTGGAAAGCTAATCAGTTACCTTGAGGGTTTTCATACTTTATCTCCAGAACTGCTGCTGAGAAACCTTTGGGCATTTGGGAAGTTCACATGTTCCTAGCAATAAAGCAATAGGATGGTCCTTCCTTAGGAAATTGTGTTTTAAAGCCATGGAGCTTTTACATCTGGACACCTTCCCTAAGTTAAAACAGTCTCTACTACATTCCTTTACCCTCTACAGTCACTAACTACCTCGGGACTTCCTTTTGTGATCTATCTCTCTATAAACCACTTCAGTGCAGCTCCTACAATCAACAATATATTTACAAAGAAGGGTTGAGGAGAGGAAGAATTCTGCAGAAACTCTTATAAACCAAACTCCCTTTTTGTAGTTTTAATTGATTACAGACTTTGATCTGCAAATGCTTGTACAGTATGCAGTAACTTACCTAAAATTATTAAAAAACAAATCAGGCTCCCAAACTTGCAACAAGGTATTAAGAACTGACAACCTTTTCACTGCAACTGTATTTTGGAATCTGCTTGTAAGAAAGCAAGCCTGTGCATTTCCACAGATGAAACACCTCACATTTTATACAATACAGGACTGACTTCCTCCTATTTAACATTCTGCACACTGTTTCTTAAATATTCACTGTCCTTTGGTGACTTCATCTTTAATTCAAAATATTACTATACCAGTGTTTGTACTGAAAACCAGGTAATCCACTGTAACACTAAGCTGTTCTTCAGTGCTTAAAAAATTTTGTTTCATCAGATGGAAACCTAGACAGAGCAAACAAGACTTAAATTTATTCTTCATTATTGAGATCACAGATGTTAACAAGTGAAATTTTACTGTATTTCAGAGAAACTTAAAACTACAGTAAGTACAGTATTAAAAAGCAAGAGAGATGTAAGACATGGCAAAGTCTTACTAATATATTTAAGAATACCTATGTAACTCCTTTTTGATTCAACAAGCTAATTCTTGATTATAAATTTTTTCATAAAATTCCAAGTCTTTTTTGTTTAAGGATGGTTTTACAGTCCTCAATGATTGTACAAAATGCTCATGTTTTACAGTAGTTGCTTCAAGTCCATTTTCTTGCAAAGCCAACAAAGCAGCCTTTAAAAGAAGAAAAAAGAAACAATTTCAAGTGATTATCACATTCTAAGTTTCAAAGAAGTTACTGTAATCTAAATTATTTTACATTAAATAAAATTTTAGATAAAGCATCTGAAAGCAGCATTCTAGAATTTATGGCTATCTAACCATAGATAAACATCAAGTAAGATTACTGTAATATTAATTCACTTTTTTGCCTGGATTAGACAAGACATCCTTGATCACTCACATATTTGGATTTTCTTCCTAGTCCTCTCTTTTATACTACTTGTCTCAAATACTTATATCTCAATTTTCTTCTCTCTGGCTTTGACAGTACATGCTAATTTCAGCTAAAAATGCAGTTGCTTGCAGTACACAGAATACAATTCATCTGCACAGGGTAGAAGAGTTCCTTAACTTCTAGTTAATTATCACAGAAAGCCTTTATTATTATTTAGCACTTTTTATTTGAAGAATTAACCCTTGTTCAGTTCTTCCCTTTGTCTCATTCTATCAATATTTTCATTATGAAGTGTGAAACAATCTGTAGTAGAGAAAGCTTGGTGACATTCATGAGTTAGTTATCTTTTCATGGAAAGGTTTTGTTTACAGTTTATTTCACAGATCAACCATTAATATTTCTCACCTCCTTGCAGAGATTTTCAATATCAGCTCCAGAAAAGAGGTCTGTTTGGACTGCCACATCTTGTAGGGACACATCAGTATCTAATGGAATTTTTTCTGTGCAGATTTTCAAAATGGAAAGCCTTCCCTGGAAGTTGGTGCATATAAGAAAACCAAACAAGCCAATAATTAATCCCTCTCCAAAGCAGTACAAAATCTGAAACTGAACCAAGGAAAAATCCAGAAGAGGACCAAAAACCAGAGCTACACACTTTTTGTGGAAGAGTAAATAAATATATTTATGAATATATAAACACACTATATAGACACATACATACTTTATATACTACATATAACACTATGCAAGAGTAAGTACTAGCTTATATATTCAAGTCTGTAATTCAGCTACTCATTACTTCATGAAAACACAGTATTTTAAGATTGAAGAAGTCACATTTGGCCTGCTTTGGGTCAACTCTTTTTTTTTCTGGGACAAGTAGGTACATCACCCTTGGGAACAGGGCAAAGAACGATTTGAAGGAAGGAAAGCCAACTTGCTACGGTATTTCCTAAACTGCAGGTTGATTGTTTATAAATAACAGTTCAGCTATTCCAGCTTTTGTCTATATTCTATATGTAACAGTTTAACTACAGCACACCAGTTAAAATGTTACTGGTGTTTGAATTACAAATACAATTATTCCCTTGCAAACTTCAATGTAACTTCTTCACCAATTCATTACAACTATTACAGGAATATGCACCTTTTGCTCTTAAAGGATGCTGGCAATTAATATCTTTCAATTTAAAGCCATGTGTGGATTTGTAATACATCACCTTCAGATCTGGAGGTGGAATATAGATGACCTTGTCTAGCCTTCCGGGACGCAATAAAGCATCATCCAACATGTCTGGTCTATTTGTTGCAGCAACTACCATGAAGTCTTTGTTCAAAGTTTCCTGAAACTCTAGCTGAGTAAGAGAGGATATAAACAAATGAGTGCAATGTGGTTTAGATCCATATTTTTTTTAAACTAGACGGCATTTATAACTCTTCCTATATAGAAAAGGGAACATAAAATACCATTCTCTCCTCGTCACTTTGTTCTTGACATTGCCCCTCCAGCTGTAGTCTGCTTCCTCTGCTTTCTGTAGCTTTCACCCCAATACCATCCAACTCATTGAGAAGAATGGAAAGAACCCGCTCTGAGACACCATGGCCAGCTCTGCAGTGTGATCGAGAGCCCAAGATTGAATCAATCTCATCCAGGAATATGATTGCTGGAGTGTTTGCTCTTGCTTGGCGAAAAACCTTGTTTTGATTAATAAAGTAAAATGTCAGTACATCTATTCTATCAGGTAAAATGAAGACACCTATTTACATATGCACTGTACTTTACTTCACTTTAAAGATACACTCGCAGAGATTCAGAAGAGCCATTCTGGCTTACATTTACTATAGGTAAATTCTGCATCTTATTTAAACTCTTAACTGAATTGAAAACAAAAGGCTAGAAATACTTTTAAAGTTTAAAACTGGTATCTTTTTAGAGCTAGATTCTCAGTCATATAAATGTGAATCTGTAAACCATTTCTATTTAATAATCAGATACGAGCTTTCACTATAACCTTTTCAGTAACAAAATTTAGGCCTAACTAATACATCACAAAAAATCAAGCAAAAATAAACTATAGACATTACCCAAATAAAAAACTGTACCTGAGACAAAATCTTCTCAGAATCTCCAACATAAGGTGAGAAAAGGTCAGCACCACTCACAGAGAAAAAGGAACAGTGACAACTTGTGGCCACAGCCTTCACCAGTGTAGTTTTGGCACACCCTGAAGGCCCATAGAGAAGAATACCCTTAGGATGAGACAGGCCCATCCTAGCAAATGCTTGAGGAAATTTTATAGGCCATTCAATGCTCTGTCAATACATAAAAAAGGGATTAAATTCTTAGTAACAAAACTAGAGTTCACAGGTAATCCATGAAATTGCTGAGCGTATTATTTCTTCTCCTTGGTACAAACATTAATTTGAAAACACAATACTAATTTGGCCTTCCTTCATATAATGCTCTCCTTAAAATTTCTTCTGTCTCAAAGCAGAACAAAAGACAATCCTTGAGAGATGATATGCAAGAGCTATCTCTGGCTACAGATTCAGGAGTGGACAAATTATCTGGCTGCAAGTAAGTGTTTTTCAGGTACTGGAAAACATGCTGATTTCCCCATGATATTACATTTTGTGGCGATATTGTGACACTGGAATATTTCTAATTCAAACATTGTAATAGCTTAATGTAGCATGAAAAATGTTAAACATACAATTATAATCAGGTAATTTACAAGCTAATTAATTTACATACTGTGGCATACAAATAACTTGGAGGACGTGGTTATTAGAAACTAGCTGTTTATCTAAACCTATTTCATATGTTACCTGCTTTAACTTTAATTTCACATCTTCAAGGCCACCAATTTGCTCCCAAGTGACAGGTTTATACTCTCTTAGTCCAATAGCACTTCGAAAAGACGATGGTTGAATTTTTTTAAAAGCTTCTTGGAAATGTGCAGCATTAATCACCATTTCAGTTGAATCCTGGAGAAACCCAGATAAAACACACTAACAATGTATATATGAAAGAACTTAAAAACACTGCATTAGTATGCAAAACATCACAAAAGGTCAAATGCAACTAACAAAGAAGCAAGTTGCTGCCCTAACAAGCTAAAGCACTGCAGACACAAAGATGTAACGCAAAGCAGAATATAATCTCTTTAATGGCAAGTTTTATACTGGAAAAAAAACAATTTTAATAGAAATTAATGTTTCAGAGCACATTTGTTTTTCCCTAAATTGCAACAGTGATCTGCTAAATTAAATGGTTGACAGTTTCAGAGTTACTGCACCTGAATTCCTAGATTCTCTTGAACTAACATTCATTTTCACCACATGCTGGAGAAGGCAAGGTACTTCGTATCAAATAGTCTACAAAATACCATTATTAAACTACAGATACAGTAACAGAACTAAGATCTATTTTACAAAGGAGCTTGCAGTTCTCAAGGCAAGTAGGCCATCTGCTTACTATTTTTATTTGTCCATGTATTTCTTCCTGGGTACCAGACTCAAATTATTTTATTATTTTCAATATTGGTAAGTTATCCGGAAGAGATACAAGTTATAAAAATACTATATTCTCTTCTTTCTACCCACAATAGAGAGGGCTCTAGCATTCTCCACAGATGCTCTGACTCTGGAAATGCTGCAGTTCTGGGTTTAAACTTCTGCTCAGCCATTCCAGGTGAAAAAACACAGAAAAACACATACCTCACAATTCTTGGAAAAGTTAGGGTAGAAAGAATATTAATAAATAGCAGATCTCTAATTCTGTATCTAAGAAGTTAAATTTCTGCATGGTGGGCAGTTTTATATCTTGTGGCTATAACAATGTTACACCCAGCCATACAACACAAATTGTAATAGTTAGTATCACTAGGAGTTACATATTCTGTGTCAACCTAAACTAATGTATAATTATTATGAAGTAGAACTCTAGCTGATAGCTTCACAAGAGAGCTTTGTTGGACATTACAGTTTAGTTTGCAAAAAGAACTAAAACCTATGTTTTGCACAATCCTAGAAAGAGAAGGATAAGGTTAATGACTTTTGGCAAAGATTTTCATCCAGAAAGGTAAAACCATTTTTTTCAAGTGAGAATTGAAAGGATTAGGGAAATGTTTTTGTATGTATAACACACTTGGTGCTTTTCAGTATTTTAAGGTGAGTTCTTCAACTTGCTGAGCTTTTCAAGTAAAGCCAAGTATTAACAAGGGTAGTATATATTATTAAAGACATTCTTCTTGTCTAGTTTGCAACCATACCAAAGAGCTGTGGAACACAGCCTGCATAGCAGCTTCTCTGCAGAGTGCTGTAAGGTCAGCTCCAACATACCCAGTTGTCATCTCTGCCAGTTTAGCCAAATCAATGTCTGCAGAAAGAGGCATACTAGATGTAAGCAGCTGCAGGATAGATCTTCTTTGCATAAGTGTTGGCGTTCCAATAATCACCTAAAACAAATATAACAAACAAACATTTTAAGTAGACATTTTGCTATATTCCTCTTACTTTACAGACCTAGGCAAGCAAGTTTCTCTCTGCTTTATAGCTTAGTGAAGATTTACACATACTTTTCCTGCAACTGCAGAATTTGACAAAAAACTTATTAGCAGCACTACACAAATGAGAAATATTTAAAATACCCTTCATTTACACTTACCTCCCAAGGGAACAGTTTATATAAACAGTTGCTCATAAGACACTGTCACCTAGTGTCCAACAAATCCTATTTTAAGGTAACTTCAACATATGACATTACATTGAAACAATTCCCTTGCGTCACAAGGGCTGAATTAAAATAATCTGAGAGAAAAACATCAACCAGATAAACATTTGTACATAATTAAAAACCTGGTAAAATGCCACCATAAAATATATCACAATAACCTGTAAATCCTGACAAACATGAGAACTGTAGTTGTGAAAGCATTAAAGAACTTGACCAAGCTGGATGACTTGACAAGAGTGCATTTAGCCAATAAAACAAGCAATACAAGCAAAAGCACTGTGAGCTGTGTAACTGCCCATGCTCTTTCTTCTTTTGACCTTTAGGCTAGTAGAAGTTTTTCCAGAGTAGACCTAACTTCTGCTACTCAAATCTGAATAGACAGCAGGTCACTAGTTTTCCACAATTAACCTTTAATGAGAGATGCACTAACCTTCAATCTGGGATTTAAATGAGAGAAATCTCTGTCAGTAATACTTTGTGTCTGTAAGCAAAAGAAAACCTTCAAGCACAGACCCGTGCCTTTATCATAAGGAAACAAAAATACCCTTATTTTGATTTTCAAGTTGTTGGAGCTCTGTTTCCAGGGCAAAACACACTCCCTACCTTACCAAATTGCAGCTTACTACAGAAAGAAGCAGGACACACATTTCAAGCCCATAGAATCCACTATTAGGACATATATTTTTTTTTTAAAATGAAAAACCACTTTATTAACTGCCCTCTGTTCCACCTCAAAAAGGAAAGAAAACAACAAAAAAAAGAGAGCAAATGAAGAAAAGGGTTTACTTACCTCTCTGTCAAATCTGCCAGGTCTTCTCATTGCAGGGTCCAAGGCATCAGGCCTGTTTGTTGCTGCCACAACGACCATCCTACCCTCACTGCCCACACCATCGAGCAGCGTCAGTAACTGAGCAACAATTCGATCTTCAGGAGCATTGTTTGCACCTCCTCGCTTTGGGCACAAAGAGTCAACTTCATCAATAAAGAGGATGGTTGGGCCTTCAGACGACATTTCTCTGCCCTTTTCAAAGGCCCGTCGCAAATTCTCTTCACTTTCTCCCGGCCTTGAGCCACAGAGGGCTGGACCACTGATGCAAAACAGATACGCACCCACTTCTTTTGCTACTGCCTTCACCATCAGAGTTTTCCCCACACCTGGGGGGCCTATTAGTAGCACCCCATTAGGGACAGAAAGCCCCAGCTTCTTAAAAGTTTTCGGGAAGCGGAGAGGCAGCTCAATCATTTCTTTCAAAGACTTTCCCACATCCTCTAGTCCCGCAACTGAAGTTTTTGCCGTGTCTTCTGACAAATGTCTGTACCATTCCAAAGTGACCACCTCTTTAATTTTGATGCTCGTCTGGGGGGTTATCAGACCAGCTTCATCCGTCAGAGGGTCTACAGACAGTATTTCAATACACACGATGAGGTTTTCAAGATTTGGGGTAACGGTAACAACATAATTAAGTGAAACATAAACATTTCTTAGCAGTTCTCTGATCGTCTCCTGCAACACTGCTCTGGGAGTCGACTTCTTCAGCGCAGAGCTCTTCAGGACGACTTTCACCGTCGCTTTCTTAAGCTGCCGACAGGCCAGAAGCTGCAGCTGCCC